AATAATCTTAGTCCCTCAGCAGGAGTTGGTTATTCGACTTCTACTAATGCAAATCAATTTTGTTCACCTGGCATTAATGGGCATAAATTTTACTATTCAAGCGCTACGGGGGTCGGAGCTCAATTAAATTTAGGCACAAATATTTTTAATATACAAGGAAATGGAAATACAGTCTGTTTAAAGAATACTTTTGCTAACGCTGGAGTACACGCTTTTGGATATGATACAACTGATTTAAGCTCATATGGGTATGGCTGTCATATGCATTATGCCGGTGGACAATCGAGCGTTTTCTGCTACTCATATGCAGCTGGTTCTTATGGTGATTTAGGATTTAATAATAATAATTTATATATAAAATCTTCTAATGGTTTTGTTGGAATAAATAATACTTCTCCATCATGTCCATTACATGTTGTAGGAACAGGAAATCAAACAACTGCTTCTAGCTTCGGATGGTTAAGTTCAGCAGGCACATCTACATCAACTTCATTTACCAACAGAGCGTTCTCAATACGATGCTCAGGGGGGATAATGTGTGATTCAGGCGAAATTGATGTACTCTCTGATGAGTATTTTAAAGAAAATTTAAAAACATTAGATATTGATTTAGTCAATAAATTTATTGAAAAAATAAATCCAATTAGTTTTAATTATAAAAATTCAGATAAAATGCATTATGGGTATTCGGCGCAGAATTTGCTATTAAATAATTTTAATGTTATAGTTGGTACTCATAAAACAGATGAACCATTAGAAGAAAGAGAATTAACTAATGAAGAAGGTGATAAAATAGTTATTCCAGCTGATACACGATTAGTTGTAAATCCAATAGATATTATTGGAATTTTACATAAAGCTTTGCAATCATCTAACCAACGCATAATAGACAACGAAAAAGAAATTAGAGACTTACAATCTCAAATTAATGCAATTGTTGACTATATCAATGATGAAAGTTCAACTGATTGAATTTCATATTAAAGATTAGAATATTATATATATATAGATCTACTCATAATGACATCTAACACGCCAGCATATGCCAAGGCTTATTATGAAAAAAATAAAGAAAAATATAACAAACTTACGCATATTGTTTGCACTTGTGGAATGAAGATTAATAGAACTTCTAAATCTTACCATGTTAAAACTAAAAATCATTTTCATTTATTAGAACAATTACAAAAAAGAGAAGCTGAAGCTCCATGTGGGACATCAGCTTAATTTAATTTCTCTTAATCATATGCATATTTTTTATATCGTTCATTATAACTCTCTCCTTAAAATCATTTTATATTACAATTTAGGCCTCAAACATTTTCAGCTTATCTTCTAATATTTTTTTTTTTGTTTTTTTAATTCTTTATTTTCTTTTTCTACTTCATAATATTTGCTTTCGTAATCTTCAACAAATTTAATGTCATCTTTACAGTAATCTTTTACACCGTCTTCATTTGGAATTCTTTTTTTTGTAATTTTACCTGTTTTCGTATCAATAAATCTGATGCGGTCATCGGACCATTGGGAAGTATCAACTCTAAAATTTGTCATAATAAACATATGAGGCTTATAGTATCTACATTTTCCGCCTTCGTATTTGCCAGAATATACAATTCCATTTTTAATTGATTCTAAGGCACCATAATTGATATAATCTTTGCCTTGTCTTGGAATATCTAAAATAATAACTTTTGGCACATTTTCGTTATCTAAATGCATTTTAATTTGATTAAAAATATTATCTTTTTTACCATCTGCAATAATACAGTTATATTCTAAATCTAAATAATCACATACGAAACTTTTCCCGATGTTTCCAGATTTAATAATTGTATCATCATCTCTGATTTTATCAACATCTTCAACAATATATATATTTCTTGGGTCCGCTTTCATTTTGCAAATATTAACCACTGTTTGTTGAAACGGTTTCCATTGCACATCGTCAAATTCTCTTTTCATATCATCCAGCATTTTTTTTCTATAAAAATTATTTGCAATTGTAATAACCTTTTGTGATAAAAGGTCTTGCGGATAGTTGTCAAAAAATTCATCTCTTGTTAATAAACTTAACTCTTCAATATCAATTTTATTGTCATCGAACACCTTTTTATATCCGCTCATTTTAAATTTACTTCGTTTATCATTATCATTAACTATCACATTATCATTTTGTTTAAAAGATGAATATAGAATAAAATGTTGAAATGTACTTTCTACTGTTTTAAATTGGATAGCTGAAGTAAATTTAATTGATATTACATTCGGTTCTTTTTCTTCAATTAATTGAATCCCGCGTTTTGAATAAATATCCTTTACTTCTTGCTTTGTTTTCTCTGTAATAAGTAAAACATTTCGGCTCTTTGTATCAATTACATTTACTCTTTCTAAGTATAGAATTTTTAAAGGTTCTAAATCAGTATTTGACATTTTCTTATATTATACAATAGTATGTTATATAGTATATATTGAACTATCTTTAGATAGAAATTAGTTGTATAAGGATAGACAAAAAATATAGCTACCTATTATAGGTAGTACATTTTAATTCGTAAGTAAATAAAATTATTCTGTATAATCTGAATCCAATGATAGCTGATATGCAATTCGGGATGGTTTGTAGGTTTCTTTAGCTAACTCTTCTAAATCTATTTTCTTGTTTTTTCCTAGTTTCTTTTTATACTTTAGTATCATTCTATTTAAATGTTCATCGGTATATCCTTGTTCGCTAAAACATGTACTTTTAAATAGACAATTCGTAAAAATAATGTATTTATATAAATAGTATAATTGATCATTATAAAAATCATTAATATACTCAAAGCTAAATTTCTCAATACACATAGCATCAATATCTAGTTGGTTATTTTTAATGTAATTAGTGATTTTTTTATATCTGATTTGATATGGATCATCTAAATATAAATGTACCTCTTGATTCAAACCAGAATTAATTTTAACCATGTTATAAGTATTTGAGCTTTAGTATTATATAATATATATATTCTTTTCTTTAGATAGAAATTAAATAACTTTAAAATGAATTTCTATCAAAATAAAAGTAAAGGAAACAAAAGAACATAAATCAGTAAATGCTGATCCATAGCAACATGGTAGAGTCAAAATAAATTTACATATCAATATATTAAATTCAGTACAAAAGAACATAAATCAGTAAATGCTGATCCATAGCAACATGGTAGAGTCAAAAAAATTAAAATTCAAATAATATGTGTTATTGTAAAATTGTGTTAGTCAATCTAAAGTAAAATTGAAACAGTCATATAACATGTGTTATTGTAAAAATGTGTTTAGCTAATTTCTTCAATCTAAAGTTTAAATGTCAAATATGAAATAGCTAGTGTTTATGTTTTATTGTGTTTAGCTCTAAAGTTTAAATTTGAAAATATGAAATTGTAAGTGTTTATGTTTTATTGTGTTTAAACTATAAAATACAAAAATACAAAAACCCCGTGGGTTAGTGGGTTTTAACTTAATTATAAATTGAACTAAAGTTCAAAAGAAGATTAGCTTTTGAAAGCAATCATTTTTCAATTTACATTTAAACATTAGTTAGCTTTATAGTAAAGCATTGAAGAATGTAGCTATCTTCTTTAAAGTAGAAATTTAGCATTATCTAGCTGCCCGAGTACCGAGGGGCAAAAGGGGATGATGGTCACATTCACTTCACTCTATTCAACCTTTTTTAGTCTAGGTATACCTCTAACAACAACCAATAATATGTTACTTTCTAGTCGCTTTGTTGCATGTCGCCTGAATGAACAGCTGTAGAGAAAGATAACTTCGAACTTGCCAAATCCGTCGTATTTCAAGCAAGCGTGTACTGTATGTACATGCGGGTAAGATGCCTCATGCCAGAGAGAGCTGTGTATGCACAGACCATGCTGCATAGGCTAAGCTAGTAATGGACTATATTGTAGTACGAGTAAGCTTAGTATTGCTGTAGGTATTACAAGGCTCGAGAAAAGCGTCATCAAAGTTCGTCCATTTTCGACATATATCTTAACGTTATACGCATGTCGACATGTCGTCCAAGTACAAAAAAACATGCACATGCGCAATTAAAATATTGCATCCGCAAAAATAATGAAATATCCGGATCAGCTCTTTCTCAAAGTGAAACGGCGCGCATTTCTGAAAACATGGACAGTGAGTGGTAGAAAGCGTGTCAGTACAGCAGCCAATGTCCCTCTCCAACAAAGGTGGATGACTGCAAGGAAACTCCAGATTTTGCTTTCGCCAACCCAGAAATGCCTCGATTTTGGCCTTCCATAACTTCGTGGTAACGTTAACGTTATGATGAGTTTTGGCCAGTTCCTGCATACAGTATCCCGGATGAGTGGTCGAAGAAAAAAATACAGGCGGCGTAAAACACCCATCAAAATAAATTGGCCAAACATCACAAATTGCACAATCAGGACAAAGAGACGTCAGGTCAAGCTTGAAGATATAAGACAACGTAGTACACTGTACTATTATATACGTATATTAATACTACGTATTAATAGTACTATTAATACAGTACTACTATTATTGCAACACAAGCCATTACTATTAATAGTACTGTAAAGGGAGCGGTATAATCGAAGACGTATGTCATTGCATCCTGTAACTGCCGAGCCCTGGAAGAGCAGAATGCAATGCATGAGATGCACTCGTGGTCCTGTGCTGCTTCATGGCGTTGGCATTGAATACCCAGACCAAGTCTAATCATCGATCTCGCATCAGATCAATTGATTTATTGACGCTCTGATTTTCAGAATGGACAAAGCGTGGGATTTCAACGAGCGCAAATTGAAAAAGGTGGTTCAAGATTTGCCAGGAACCTTATGTAAGCAACGTAAAGAAACATAATAATGCAGTTATAACCTTTTGTTTTGAATATATTCAAATGGCTTCTTGAAATGTGTTTATAATTTTTCATTTCACTTCCTACCTTTCGAGGCCCCGCCATGTCAACTTCTTGGAATCCTTCTCTCGTATCCTCCGACCAGAAGACTTCCTTCCGCGACTGCATTTTGGCATTCGTCACCGAAGCATGTTATCTCGACGCTTGTTCCTTCTTCGCCCCCTCGTGCGCGCCCCTTGGGCGTCCACATCCTTCTTCTCCACCAGGAAAAACTACTTTGAGGAATACGAGCGCAGCCTCGCGAGCCCAGAGTCGTTCTGGGCCGACGCCGCCAAAGACATCCACTGGTTCAAGCCGTACTCGACCGTGTTGGACCAATCCAACTCCCCCTTCAACAAGTGGTTTGTGGATGGCGAGATGAACACGTGCTACAGCGCCGTGGACGAGCACGTGGCCAACGGCCGCGGCGACCAAGTGGCAATCCACTACGACAGCCCCATGACCGGCACCAAGATTGACATCACGTACAACGAACTGCTTGACCAAGGTATGTTTGACCTGTCTAGCGATGATCCATGACATCCCTTGCAAAGTGTCTCGGTTCGCGGGGGCGTTGGCCGCGGAAGGCGTGACCAAAGGGGACCGCGTCGTGATCTACATGCCGATGGTTCCCGAGACGGCGGTTGCCATGTTGGCCTGTGCGCGCCTGGGGGCGATCCATTCCGTGGTCTTTGGCGGATTTTCCGCCAAGGAATTGGCCATTCGCATCCAAGACGCGTCGCCCAAGGTGATTCTGGCAGCCAGTTGCGGCCTTGAGCCCAAGGGCGTGATCGAATACGAAGCACTTCTCAAGGGCGCGCTGGCCCTCAGCACCCACCAGCCCCAGCGCTGCGTGATCCTCCAGCGCTCCCAGTGCGAGTACGCCATCGACTCGCCCCGCGACGTCTGTTGGGATGCGTTTGTCCAGCATGCGACGCCGCATGCATGCGTGCCTGTGCTCTCGACGGACCCGCTCTACATTTTGTACACGTCTGGCACGACTGGCAAGGTAAATCAAGGATATATCACCTTCTAGGATGAAGCAATTTCTCGAACCATTGCATCGTGTAGCCCAAGGGCGTGGTGCGCGACAACGGAGGACACAACGTCGCACTCAAGTGGGTGTTTCAACACGTGATCGGCCTGCGCCCTGGCGACACGTGGTGGGCAGCGTCCGACTTTGGTTGGGTCGTGGGCCATTCGTTCATCGTGTACGGCCCCCTCTTCCTCGGCTGCAAAGTACGCTATGCCATTCGTCTAGCTAGTGCAAAGTGACGTTATCGACTCATGTGTGACACTGTTGAGCAGACTGTGATTTACGAAGGGAAACCAGTGGGCACGCCGGACGCAGGCGCGTTCTGGCGGGTCATTGCCGAGTACAACGTCCGCAGCATGTTTACAGCGCCCACAGCATTGCGGGCGATTCGAAAGGAAGACCCGAACGCGCTCCAAGTCGACAAGTATGCGTCGCAAATGAAAAAACACCTTCGGTATGTACGAGTGCAATGAATTGCTTCATGTTACCACACGTCATATGTGGCTACATCGTCATGGTGTATTCTTATCTGTGGGGGTATGCAGGTCGTTGTTTGTGGCGGGGGAGAGAGGGGACCCAGCGACGATCGAGTATTTCATGAATCAACTCCGGATTCCAGTCGTGGACAACTGGTGGCAGACAGAGATTGGGTTCCCCGTGTGTTCCCAGATGATGGGTATGAACCAAACCCGATTGGACGGCCGCGAGTGCCCTGGAATCAAGCTCGGGTCGGCAAGTCGACCTGTACCCGGCTTTGACGTGGTGCTGCACAACCACGACGAGCCCACGGAGGACCCGAATGAGGTCAAGGAAGGCAGCATCTTGCTGCGGTTGCCGCTGCCTCCAGGTGGATAGTACCCTCACAATATAGTAGGTCCAAGGACTGATGTATTGCAGGATGCTTTACAACGCTCTACAACAACGAAACTGAGTACGTGTCCAAGTACATGGAGGAACACCCGGGCTTTTACACGACGGGGGACGCTGGGTTTATCGACCCCGACAATTACGTGTTTGTATGTACAGTGACAGTTGAAACTTGTAACGGGCAATGATATATATCATTTTGGGCGTAGATCATGTCTCGTACAGACGACATCATCAACGTCGCGGGCCATCGATTGAGCACTGGCGCCATCGAAGAAGTCGTCCAACGCGACGACAACGTGGCCGAATGTGCCGTGGTCCGTCCCGTGTCTCATGTTGGATCGATCGTGTGAAACACGCTGCTGTAGGTCGGTGTCGCAGACAACCTCAAGGGCCAAGTCCCGATTGCACTCGTGGTGCTGAAATCAAATGCGAGCCAGTCCAAAGCCGAGGTCGCCGCGGCCATCGTGAGGCGCGTGCGCCAAGACATTGGCGCGTTCGTGTGCCTTCGAGACGTGGTCGTGGTGGAGCACTTGCCCAAGACCCGGTCGGGCAAGATTGTGCGCCGCACGATCCAGACCATGGCTGACAATAAACCGTTTGCAGTGCCCGCGACCATCGAAAACGAATCTGTCTTGGACGACATCCTCATGGCCCTCCAGTCCATCGGGTACGCCAAGCACCCCCACCATCTACGCCACCAACAAGTCGCAGCAGCACCCCACTAGCTACAGTATGCACTACAGTAGAAGCCCAGTACTAACTACACTGTACTACTTCGAAGGAGTATTATAGTACCAGGACACTTGAAAAACAAAATTGGTTAACTGTAAAATGATAATACAGTACATGTATTGTGCTCTCGATTCTCGTTGGAATTTAATTCGATTTGATTGGCTACTTCAGACGAGCTCAAAATTATTAGCCAATCAAAACCTTCTCAATGAAATTTAACCAATCAGATCGATTGTGGATCGGTTTGGTCGGCGCGATTCGGTTGCACCCCCCCACGCCAAATATTTGTATATCAAATCGACAATATATGTAGTGTATATATATGCAGTTCGGTAAGGTTTGTTCTATCTATACTAGTACGTATATGCAGTTCTCCAACGTCTACTTCTGGGCTAACGTTACAATATTGCACTACCAGATCATAGTAGTAGCTAGCCCCCAAGCATTTCGCTATAACCTAACAGTTGATTCGTGCAGTCGATGGCAACTCGTACTCAAGTACAACTTTAGCAGTACTGTCCATCCGTCCCCTTCAAAACACACACAAACAGCCTCGTCGTTTTGACTTCACGAGCCTCCTAATCCCAACGCACGACGTTCGTGGTGGCCACGCCAAAGCTGTGGAGCGTCTGGACCAAGTCCTTTTCGTCGATCGTCACCTCTTCCTTGGTCGCGAGGACCTTGACCTTGACTTGGTGGTTGGCCCGTTCGTCTTCGCCCAGCACGACAATGTACGGGATGCCAGCGTCCAGCGCATGTTGGAGCTGCTTGACAAACTTGGGGTTTTCCGACGGCAAAATCTCGGCGGCGATGTGCGCGGCCCACAGTTGCTGGCACACTTCGAGGCGCGGGACGAGCAGCCCCGCCGACGTTTGCGTGACGAGTACTTGAGATACGGGCGTGCGGAGGCCGTCGCGTTGCTCGGCGTGCTTTTGGAGCATGCCAAAGATGCGCTCGATGCCCAAACTCACGCCAATGCACGGGATCTGCGCGTTCGTGGCGGAAAACATACCCACCAAGTTGTCGTAGCGCCCCCCCGCGGCGATCGACCCCACTTGCGTCGCGGATTCGCCCGTGAGCACGAACTCGTAGATGAGGCCGGTGTAGTAGTCGAGGCCCCGGGCCAGCGACAGGTCGAACGACACGTAGTCCAGCACCCCCATGGCTTCCAGGTATGACCAGAGCAGGCCGAGCTCTTTCATGGCTTCGGCGGCGGCGGGGTGGTCGCCAAAGCGCTTGTCGGCAATCAGTTGCGCATACAGGGCCTTGGGACTGCCCACTTGCGTCACAAATCCCTGGATGCGGTCGGCGACTTCGGGCGCGATGTCCTTCTCGTCGACCATTTCGGCGCGGACAACGTCCCATGGCTCCTTGTCCAGTTTGTCGATGGCACTGCACGTCGTGCGCAGTTTGTCGGCTGGCACGCCGCAGAGTTCGAGAATTGCATCGAGCAACTTGCGGTGGCTCAGCTTGATCTTGAACGGGCCGAGCTCGGGGAACTGCTGCAGCACTTCGATCCCGATTGAGATGACTTCGGCGTCCGCGAGCATCGTCGGGTATACGCCCGCAATGTCAAAATCGCACTGGTAGAACTCGCGGAACCGACCGCGGGCAATCTGCGGGTTATCGCGGCGGTACACGCGGGCGATGGCGTAGCGCTTCATGTTCCCAGGGTTATGCAGCGCCATAAAGCGCGCAAACGGAACTGTGAGGTCGTACCGCAGCGCGAGGAGCTCGCCCCCTTGGTCGGCCAAGTCGTAGATGAGCTTGGAGTCTTCGCCGTACTTGCCCGTGAGCGTTTCCTTGAGTTCAAACACGGGCGTTTCAATCTCGACGCCGCCGTGGCGCTTGAATACGGCGCGGACCTTGTGGAAGATTTGCTCACGCAGGTGCATTTGCGGCGGCAAAAAGTCTTGTGCGCCCTTGGCGATCTTAGGGCGACGCTTCTCACCGCCGCTCAGCCCACTCAACTTGGCAAACAAGTCCTCGAGAAACACCACCGCACCCTGCACGCGAAAGTCGAACGGGTTTAGGTAGTCCTGCGACGCCGTCAAAAACGCCCGGAACGCCGAGCTGCCGACGCCGGCGCCCAAACTGTCCTTGGCCGCCTTCTTGGCTGCCTTTTCCTTGAGCTTGTCGGCCTTTAATCGTCGCTTTTCCAGCACCTTGGCGCGCTGCGCTTCGCTCATGGCCGCCAGCGCCTCGTCCTCTTTAGCTTCGGCGGCAGCCTGCTTGGCCGCGACTTCGGCCGCCTTGGCAGAGTCGACGCCCTTGACGCCACCTCCGCCTTGCGAGGCTTCCTGCGCGGCCAAAATGGACTTGGCTGCACGAACTTCTCCCGTCAGCTGGGTCGTCGTCGCTTCGACCAAGGCAAATGTGGCCGCTGGAGAAGCCAACGATTCGACGGCGACCGCCGCCGCAGCAGAAGAGGTCGGCAGAAGTGCCACGCGGCCCCGCGACCCGTCGAAGAGCGCCTCGACGGCGCTGTGGAGCGACAACAGCGACTGTTTGAGCAATTCTGGATGGAACGACGACAGGCCGAGCGCACTCCCGGTGGCGTTCAAGTCAGTTTCCACGACTTTAGCGGCGGCGGCAATGGCGTCCCGAGCAGGGCCATGGTACTGTGGGATGGACCGGATGACCAACGAGTCCACCTTGTCAGAAGCCACGGCGTACTTGGAGTTGTCGAGCATGACTCGAAGATGGGTGGCGACGGTGAGCATGCCGCGGTGGGGGCGGGTGCTGTCGTGGGCTTCCTGGAACGGCGAAGGGGACGCTTGAAGTGCTTCGCAGGTGAGGGCTGCCACAGCATCGGAGATGGGCGTGAGACCCTTGGCGCCGCTGACGATGGAGGCGACAACTGCTTGCAACGACCCGCCGCCTTGCGTCAACGTCGCTTGTTCAATGGAACTCAGGGCAACCGGCAAGGAGAGTCCGACAGAGGCAAGACCTTCGGATAAAGACACTACGTTCTTGGACTTAAGCGTAGCCTTGCCATGGCCCTTCAAGGCATCCAATAGTGCAATGGAAGCCGCGTCGACGTCGACGAGTTTCGTCGTGGGGGCGGGGAATTGAGGAATGAGGTCGGCGTTGAGGAGCGCAACAAGAAAGTCCAAGGTTTCAAGGATGGCGTTCGAGCGAAGCAATGTGTGTTTGACAATGAAGTTCACACGCGACAGCACGAAGGCGCGTCCGAGTGCGGGTGACAAGAAAGGCCCGTCACCTGGTGACGAAGCAGACGGCAACGCAACCACGCGGGCAGCGTCATCCTTGTGCAAGTCCACAACAGCCAAGGGTTCCAGAGCGACCTTAGCGCCGACGAACGCAACGGAGCTGAACTCTTCCAAGCTGAGCTTCTTCGAGCCCACCGTGACGCGGTTCGACATTTCTACGCTGGTAGATCAAAAATGCAATATATGCGACCAGTGATGCACAGTCATCCGGATATCCACCAAAATCCGGATAAATATCAGAGCAACATTCATGCAAACCATAGAAAATTTCCCTCGGTGCGAACTCGTAGTTCAAGGCGTAGCGTATAAATACATGGAGCGCTGTTACCAGGAAGGCACATCAGTGATGCGTTGATCAACGTTAAGCTTCGTTCATGGGGTTTGGCTTGACGTAACGTTACTGGTAAGTGAAAGTACAACGTGATAGACGAGGTTTCATTCGTCAAAATTATAAGATATATCAACCCATTTTTCATGGCAATGTCCCAATACATAAGCACTTTTTAACCAATCAAGAGTTATAGCAGTTATGCGGTTGATTCCATTCTTTTTCCGCGCGAGAGGCCATGTCAGGCATCTCCATTGGCGCGTCCTTCGGCGGCGGCGCGAAGCGCGAAGAAAGCTTGAAGCCCATGACCAGCATGGCGATGCATCGAGTGAACTTCCCCGACGATATTGACGACGAAACGGCGAACGCTATGATTCCGCACATCGTCGGCCATCGCGGCGCCAAGATCACTGCTGCAGGAGTTACGTCCAACTGTACCCTTAAGCTCAAGGTGGCCAAGGCGGGCTCGAAGAGCTACTTGTCAGTGGCTGGTCAGAATGTCCTACGTGCCAACCACGGGGCAAGACTTGCGCAGCAGTTGATTGACGAGGCGCTTCAGTTAGTCCTCCGAAAGCAAGGGTTGGCTTCCATGGCATACAACCAAGCTGGCGCAACCTCTCGACCGCTTCCTCCACCTTCTCAACGCCCTCCTGCGCCTCAGCCACGAAACACTTTGCCCAGCGTCCCAATAGTGCAGACCCCTCTGCCCAAAACCCAACCTACGCCTACTCCCATACATCGCTACAATACTCACGATGCCTTTCTTCACGATGGAGCTCCAAGCTCCTCCGACCGCGGGAAACCAACTGCCGTGCCGCCAAATCCATCTCGCAAACCTTCAGTGGCTGCATGCAAGCCTCCTCCAACTCGAGTGCCGGTCGCTGCACCTGCTACGCTTCCACCCACTGCCGCTCCATCGAAGGGTTCCATCGCTCGAAGCAAACCCAAAGCAATAGCCACTACTGCCCAGGAGCCGACTCCACCACCAAAGAAACGCCGGCGTCAACAAGAGCACCACGTCATCGAGATCGATCTCGACACCCCAACGACCCCTCCACGAACTGGTCATACCACCAACCCAAGCCCCGCGGCCCAACCCGCTCAAGCACAAGTACTCGGTGACGTGTCCGACAACGCCCCTCAAGAAGTTCAAATTGTATACTCGAAGCGAGGTAGAACAAAAGTAAATGCCCCTACCCCTACAACTACCCCTGCCCCTGCCACCGCCACCAAAGACGACGACGCCACCAAGCCATCCTCCGACCTCGTTCGGCGCCGTCCGAACCCCCCTTCAACCCCCACTGTCACCAACCACGTGCAAGTCACTTCGCCGCCACTTGCGACCCCCGACTCCCTTTCACGTCATGCACACGCCCCCCGGTCCACCGGCCCCTTGGCATCCGACTCCACGCCTCCTCCATGGTCGTTGGTCACGTGGACGTCGGCCCTGCAAGCCAATCTTGGGGACGTGGCCACGCATGGCAGTGCCCACACCAGCCTCAAGCAGCAGTTCCGCGCCGCCAAGCGGCGGTGGCGACTCGCCGACACCCGCGTGCGGCACCTCCTGGCGATCCAGTCCCTTGCAGCGCATGTTGCCCTCCCAGACACAGATTGGACAGGCGCAGCCACCACCGACCTGCGCCAACTGCATCGCCGCATGCTTCGGGAGCGCATGGGGGCCGACCATCCCCGCCTCATGGTCCTGCCAGAGGTGTTGCGGCTCGCGGTGCCTCCCCCCGCGCCGCAGTTTTGCAACCGGTTGATCCGCCTTCAACAGCAACTTCCCCCCCATCCGTTCGAGTGTTTCGACGCCCTTCCAGACATGTCGGCGCTGTCCAAGGCGAAACTGCAACGGTTCATGCAACCGAACGCAGACTTGGAAGAGTCCTGCCGTGTCCACGAAGAGCTGGTCGAGTCTGCCGCGTCCGTCGCCGACATCCATGAGTTTGGCGTGCATGTGGTACATGTGACACATGTACTGCGATCTATCGTGCGGCACCGCGCGGCGGCGAAAGAGTGGCTCTATCGCGGCTACCAGCATGCCGTCCCCGCCGCCTCGGATGGACCGACGGCGTGGCAGGACTCGTTTCACGAGTGGCGAGACGTGGTGGTGGACGCGGTGCTGCCATCGGCCTTGCCTCGAGAATGCCACCCGTTGGTCCAACGAACATGCGATTGGTATCCATACTTGCTGCCGTCGGTGTTGCAGTGGACACGTGTCATGCAGACGAGAAGCGTCGAGACAAAGCACGAGGAGGTGCCACCCCTGCACGACATGGTCTTGAGCTTGCTACTGTCGTGCAAGATGCCGTTCCCAAAGCTGATTGAGCACCACAAGCTCCTCCAACATCATGTGAAGGCCTTCCTCGTCGCCCTCGCAAAGCAACAGGTCGTGGAATGGGCCCAGCTGCTCGTGGAGCATCCAGATCTTCGCGATCTCGTCGTGAACGAAAACGAAAGCGTTGATGAAGTTGGACATGTGCATCTCTTGCCAGGATTTGAATCCCCACCCCATCAGTTGTTCGACGACGACATCCCTCCCTGCCAAACCCTGTCTGCGTTGGCGGCGCTGGCACATCAGCAAGCCCGATTGTCCAAGCGCAGTTGATATGTATGCGTGGGATGACCTGTCATGTAGAGAATGTGAACGTTGCTTAAGTTGATTCCACGCATTAACACTGTGAGTTTCGGGCAGCCTCATCACGCCGTTATCGACGGCACCAGCTGTACCTCCACTCAACATCGGTGCCTTTGAGAATACATAACCTGTGAGATTTAATTCTAGATCCTTCGGTTACACCTGCACAGAAAGTTCTCGATTATTAATACTCTGTGACAATCCATGCTTGAATGGAGTTCGAATATTCTCGAAGCACGCACTCTCCACCAATCCAAATGCAGGATTTTGCTACAGTTGCCGTGGATTGGTCAGAATTCGAACTGCGTAAAGTGGTGGGGGGGCACTGATCATCGCCATTTTACATTTGATTCTGTCCAAGGAACCTACGTAGCATGTCGGTCATCGGGATTGACTTCGGGAACGTGGAATGTGTCGTTGCCCAAGCCAAGCGCGGCGGTATCGACATCATCCTCAATGAGAACTCCAACCGCAAGAACCCGTACGTCGTAATGGACAAGTCCTGGACGACTTCATGTATCTGACCACACGTGTGTAGGAACATGGTGTGCATGGCGGGCAAGCAACGCTACATTGGGGAAGCCGCTGTGAGCATGGTACGAATTTTCCTTGATTGTTGGCGGTGAAAAACATGCGTGCTGACTGTCATGCTAGGCGCGCACCAACTACAAGAACACGGCGACCGACGTGAAGCGATTGATCGGCCGCAAGTTTTCTGCGCCCGATGTCCAAGAAGAAATTCAGAATTACGGCTTCAAGTGCGTGGAATTGCCGTCGGGCCAAGTGGGCATTGTGCTCAACTACAACGACAATCCAGTGACGTACTCGTGTGAGCAAGTTGTTGCGATGATGTTGAACAAGCTGCAAAACATCGCCGCCGTCGCCAACGACGGGGTCAACCCTGCGTACGGTGTCTTGTCGTGCCCAGGGTACTTTACCGACGTGCAGCGCCGTGCGATGTTGAACGCGTCCAAGATCGCGGGGCTCAACTGCCTCCGTTTGATGAACGAACACACGGCCGTGGCGCTCGGGTACGGCATTTACAAGTCGGTGCGCAACTTGTTCCACGAAACCAACCCGGAGCACGTCATGTTCATTGACATGGGCCATTCCGGCTACACGGTGTCGATTGTGAACTTTGTCCAAGGCAAGTTGCAAGTCAAGGCCGTCGCGTACGACCGTTTCCTCGGGGGTCGCAACTTTGACTTTGCACTGGCCAAGGACGTGGCCGAAAAATTCGAAGCCAAGCACAAGAAGAACCCGCTGGCCGATGCCAAGGTAAACTAACTGCCTTTGCACTTGCTTCCATTCACAGGTTGTCACTCACTTGTGTTGTAGTCGCGCCTGAAACTCTTGTCGGCGTGCGAGAAGACCAAGAAGAACTTGAGTCCCCAGGGCGTGACGTCGTCGGTGCTCAACATCGAATGCCTCGTAGACGAAATCGACTATGCGTCCAAGGTGAGCTTGGACGAGTTCGAGACGCTCATTGCGCCCCTCCTCCAACGCTTGGAAGGTCCGATCCAATCTGCGTTGGCCGATGCCGGTCTCACCGCGGACAAGCTCAGCTGCGTGGAAATTGTCGGCGGTGGCGTGCGCGTCGCGTCCGTCAAGCGCCGGTTGGCCGAGATCCTCGGCCTGGACAAGGAGAAGCCCAACTTGGGTCTCAGCACGACGTTGAACGCCGACGAAGCCGTGGCCCGTGGCTGCGCGTTGCAATGCGCGATCCTGTCGCCGTTGTTCAAGGTCAAGGACTTCTCGATCTCGGACATCAACAACTACCCCATCCGCGTGTCGTGGGAAGGCGCGGCGTCGGCGGACGACGACACGAACGAAGACGAGACGGACGGCGCGGTGCAAACTCCAGCGAACGCTAACTCGATCTTGATTTTGACCCGCAAGGACGATTTCCCCACCACGAAGCGCATCACGTTCCGCCGCTCCGAAGCGTTGGTCGTGGAAGCCAACTACGACGAGACCGCCACGCCGTTCTTGCCCCCTAGCCCGTACACCAACTTGGGCAAGTTTACAATCTCGGGCATGTCGGCCGGCGAAAACGGCGAAGCGCCCCGCGTCCGTGTGAACGTCCGCCAAGACATCCACGGGTTGTTCGAAGTGGCGTCGGGCCAAATGATGGTGGAGATCAAGGAGGAAGAAACCAAGGAAGCCGAAGCCAAGGAAGGCGAGGAGAAGAAGGAGGAAGGCCCGAAGAAGAAGCGCTTCCGCAAGGTGGACCTCAAGGTGGAGTCGCAAGTGAACGGGTTGACGGCCGCGGATGTGAACCGCGCATCCGAGGAAGAGCTGACGATGGCCCAGCAAGACCGCGTGATTGAAGAAACCGCCAACAAGCGCAACGAGCTCGAGACGTTTGTGTACGACAACCGCAACCACTTGAGCGACAAGTACAGCGAGTTTGTGTCGACGTCGGACCGCGATGCGTTTGATGCCAAGTTGAACGACATGGAAGACTGGCTGTACTCGGACGAAGGATTCGACTCGACCAAGTCTGTGTTCCAGACCAAGTTGGATGAACTCCGCGCCCTCCTCAAGCCCGTTGACGTCCGGTACCAGGACCACCAAGACCGCCCCGAAGCCCAAGCTGAATTGAAGGCTGTGATTGAAGAGTACAAGAAGCTCGCCAACTCGACGGACGACGCGTACTCGCACTGGACGGACGACGAGTCCAACAAGCTGCGCGACGTCAGCACCAAGGCCGAGACGTGGCTGTTTGACCAGTTGAACGCCCAAGCCAACGTGCCGTTGACCCAAGACCCCGTGGTCACGGCCGACCAGATCCGCAAGAAGATCGTGGAAACCCGCGCGTTGGCGTTGCCCATCATCACCAAGCCCAAGCCGTTGCCCAAGGTCGAACCGCCGGCGGCCCCCGTGACGTCCAACGACGAAGACACCAAGGAAGGCGACAAGATGGACTTAGATTAAACAAACTACAATGTTACGTCAAACTTACATAGCCCTTGTAGTACAGAAATACTTTATCGCAGATGAGGATGGGAATATAAATGGATCGTCAGAACTCGAATGACATTATGTCGGATTATAGCTTGGATGGAGTCGACGCGACGGCCGCGGCGAGCGACTTGGCCATCTTTTCCAGGGCCCATCGCGGCATTTCGGCCGTCACGGGCAAGTACACGAGGCTTTGCATCACTTTTTTCGAGATCACGGGGTCGAACGAGGCATCCGTGGGGCTACACACAAACACAACCATGAAACAAGATGTCCATCAAGCATCGTACTGGGGGACAAACGCCAGCTGGGTGGCGCCGGCGGTCACGTCAAAGCCGTCTTGGATCATGGCCGCGGCGACGTGGCGGGGGTGGGGCACCAGCACGGGGAAGAGCCAGTAGTAGTGGTTCTTGGCCAGCACCCCCGGCACGGACGTGTGGGGGATGCCTCGAAGCAGCTGCTCCAGCTCCTCGCTCTTGGTCCTACGAATCAATCAGTCCTGACGACATCTCCCATTGTGTGTGGTTGTTCAATGTACAGTACTTGCGCTTGGCCACATATGCCATGTCAAATGTCGTGAGCTTGCGGCGGAGGAGAAAGAGAAGGGGCATGGACGGACGTTGGCGGATGCCCGAGATCAAGTCGCCGGCAAACCCGCGGATCTGCGACGTGATGACTTCGTCCGCGCTGTCTACAAGGGAGATATGGGGGTGAACTTGTACTCGAGCGTGTGTGACGATGCTACTGTACATACACCCGAGCTTGGAAACGACGTGGAAGAACAGACCAAACATCGCTGGCGTGGTCAGCGAGTGCAGCACCGAGTACTTGAGCAGGCGGTGGAGAAAGAACTTGCGCGACCGAGGCTCGTACGAGTTGTTGATGGATCGCATCTTGCGAAGGATGGCGCGATCGCTCACGCGCAGCATGCCGCCGCCAAACGCTGTGGACGTCTTGATCGTACCAAAGCTGAACAGCGCCACGTCTGTGGCGCGGTGGCCAGTGTAGGCCGGCCCGCAGTATGCTTGGGCGCAGTCCTATGATGATATAACGGATGGGCATGGGACAATACGCGAACTTGGGGTCGAGTCCTGCGATATCGTCGACTCGTACTTCGAGCAAGAGGATGTGGTGCGCTTTGGCAAACGCAGACACCGTGTCCAAGTTGTTGAGCGTGCCAAACACGTGGGCCACGAGAATGCACTTGGTGTTCTAAGTACGATCATTAGACTTGTCACATTTCACTTTGGATGGTCGTACGGCGGTGACGGAGCGCTCCAGCACGTCCATTTGCATGGCCAGCGTATTCTCGTCCAAATCCACGGGCACCGCCACGAGGCCGTGGTGGTGAATGACTTTGAGCATGTCTGGAATCGTAATGGACGAACAGATGATCTCGCTGCCCTTGGGGAACGCCATGGCTTGCAGAAACAGGTCAAACCCAGTGCTGCCATCATACAAGGTAAGCACACAATCAAGATGGAAGAGGATGGGGTACACACCGGACAGAGAGACAGGCCAGCGCTCGACCTTGGGGGTCGAACACGGTCTCCAAGTCGGTCGCAAGGGTGTCGCGGTCGGTCTCCTTCAGTGAAAAGCATGATGCGATCGCAGACATGATGTCCGAGTATGTGATGTCCAAGCGCTTGCGCGGGAAGATGGACCATGGCAGGCTACCGCTGTGTTCCTCAAACTTGCCTACATCAGCATGAAGACAGTGTGCATGGGGATGGTGGCATCGAGAGAGGGCACTACCAAACGGTTTCAGGGCCATCGAAGGTCAAGCTGGAAGCAATCAGAACTCGAAATGTACTTTCAAAGGCGAGAGTATTACGCACGCCATGAGATCCTGCATCCATTCGTCGTGCATTTCGCCATGGTCGCATTGTATTCTCTTGCATTTTGTATACACGCTTCAATTTATTTATTTATCACTTACAGTACCACGACGAACAGTTGGGTCAGTTTGCATCAACATTCTTGCGAACAAGTCACAACAGCATCACAAAGATCACTTGGTGACCAGCTAAACCTGCAAATGCATGAATCCTGCCTCGTAACTCCTATGCCGCATCACACCCCGTCGCAGCTGCCGTATCTCATATCTCACGATATGTTGGACTACATGTGTAGCCAGCCTCCCCTCCAAAGTGAAGGCCATTCCACCATGTTCATCCTTAATCATCAAACTCGTGGCTACATTCCGACGTGGCCGACGGCGGCGTGCCCAGTTCACTCAGGCGGTCCGTGTCGACGTCTTCCGGCTCACTGGCGCCCCTGCCGCCCATCCACATAACCACGTGAGTACTCGAAAAAAGGCGTCATCAGTACACGACACAGGCTTACGATTTCGATCGACTCCGCAGAAACGACGACGGACTTCGTCTGAACGACGACATGGTCGGGATGGACATGCGCTCCAACGATTCCGTGACGCTCGACTTGCGCCGCAGCAGCGACGACTGCATGTCCTTGATCTTTTCTGGCGATGGAAAGTGAATCTTGCGCTTGATCGTTTGCATCTTCTGCTTGGCTTGCACCGATCGATGCAGCAGGTTCGACTTCATCGTGCTAAAGGTCGAAGTCGTCGGTGGTTTTTGGTCGTCCTGGGTAGTCGTGATGGGGCCGGCTGCTTCCACGCGACCGTCTGCGACATCGTCCGCCACGCCGCCATACTCTTCTTCGTCCACATGCAAAGCCGACGCGTCGTCGTCGGCGGCTTGATTGGTGTCTGGTATGGCCATGGGAACCACGCGGCCATCGATAGGCATGTACGGGGATAGCCCATGCTCCACGCGCAGCACGTGGCAATGGTAAAAGTAGTTGCCCCAGAACACGTCTTCGGCAAGTTTGTACGACAACTCAAAGTGACGCTACAATACGTACGGTGACGTGGCGATTGTCATCGTGATGACTTTGAACCTGTCTCAGCTGGTCGTCCAGGGCAAGGAGGGCCGGGGCAATCTGGACAAATCGCTACAACCACACACAAGCGCGTGAGAAATATGTGATTTGAATGTATCATCATGCTATTGGACGTACGTCGATGTCGAAGATGGGCTCCAGAGTCGGTAGGGACAACCGATGGAAGTTGGCCTTTGTCCTGCTGATGGAAAACACGCCGTCTTTGACCTCATCGTGTGTGCATCCTTCCTGTGAACATGGGTGGTGATGACATGCATGTGAGCGGCGCATATCAGTGGGGTTTTCGCATGACGTACGGCGTCTACCCATGGCAAGTCCAGGATCATATCGAGGTGGGTTTCTTCTGACGCTTCGAACGCTTCTGCCAGAGACTCCTGTGCCATGAGGCTGGCCTTCTCCACCACCTTTGTCGACTCCACCGCCAAATACTTGGCCGTTTCCACGGCCGACGTCGACAGATCCATGGCATCCTGCGTCAATTGTCGCCCGAGCTGCGATGCGAATGAGAAGAAGCCTAGAACGACTGGGTGTCTCAATGAACGACCCTCGATGAATGTTCCTCTTCGATCAATCTTGAATACCTCTGGACGTTCCATAGTCATCTGGTGCGGCGGCATCCTCACTGTCAGTCGCTTCATGCTCCACGTCTATCATCTGTATGTCTTCGCTCGTTGTGATTGTGTCATTAACCATCTCGTCCCTCTTATCCGGATATTCTTCGACATGCCATCCATTTATTTTATTATATGGTGAAAAGAAAGGACAACTATTGCGATTTCAAGTATTTTATTCGAGAAACGATCTCGTATCCGGAAGAGGCACAATGACACTTGACGCCAGTTCACACCATGGGAGTACATTTGTACTACTACGTATTATTAATAATACTATTGTGCTTTTCACATATTTTGGCTAATCTGGGTATAAATAAATACCCGCTTTTAACCAGTGGGTGACGAAGTTTTAGATTAATTCAACTTAGTTTTAGCTAATCGGAAGTACCTATGATTGGATGAGCAAGAGCTGTTCCTGCAGCATATGTTGCTAACCTGAAGCGTTTGCCCATTTCATTTCGGCAAACGCGGGGGTTTACAGAGTGGATTACCTAATACACGCGAGTGTGATTCTTGACTATGCTCGATAAAGGTTGATGTTGAGTGCTTCTTGCTCGACTTTTCGTGCCAACGAGTTGCTAACAAGCTGGCTGCAAAGCTCGTGTGAGCTGGTGCACTGCGAGCTTACCCCAGTAGGTCATTACTCTGCATGACTGCTTGGCCACGGGAGTTAATAAAACGAAGTAGTTTTAGTAAAACAACGCAAGTTTTAGATCAGCCAATGACAGAACGGTGGGGAAGCTTACTTTTACGTCGAGTGCAACTTCAGTTTAGGTTAAACTTTGGATGGTTTTAGGAGCTAAAACAACGGGCAAAATATGTGAAAAGCACAATAACTGTAACACTTCCTCTGTTCCAAAATACTATTGGGGGTATTTTTGAGTGAGGTCTATACTTGGAAATTGTATTGGAAGTTGCCCTAGGATCTGATATATTTCTGAGAATTTTCGTATTTTATTCAAATTCACATTTTTACGACCAACCGGGTGAGGATGTGACGCACACGCAGTTATGGTAATAGCAGATCAAATCGATATGAGCTTCCATAAGAAGACCTATATCATGAAATACAAATGCACAAGGCTTCTATTGACATATACTGCTTTTGTCGCATAAGGCATCACGACACTTGGCTCAGATTTCAGATCATTCAACGCAATGTTTAGCATATTCATGGCACTAACTATAAAAGGTAGAATAAGTTTGCACAAGCACCAGGTTGAAAAGATTTGCAATAGCATTGGCTATAACAAAGGAATAGATGCATTCATAGTGGTCATTATTGACTCACTCGCGAGTTCGAAGTGCTGTTGTTCATGTTTGTTTCCCCATGGTTGTGTAGGAAAAAACGCTCCACGACTGTCTTCTGAATCTTGCAACATAGATATGCAGTGTGATTTAGATGATTTGGAGGATAGCTAGCTGTCTCTATGCATCAATACGAGTCTTTTGAGCCTACAATCTCCACAATTGGACCAGAAATGAATGAATGGCCGATATTTACAGTAAATCATCTGATTATACTTTCTTGTATGGAATCGATTTCATCCTCGACTGCGAATAAAATTAAACAAAAATTATGTCGTTCCACATGGAATAGGCTAGGAAAAAAGCCTAATTAGAGACAAATAGCGATTATACTTCATAAAATATGTCCCGTCCCGTAAACCCACAATAGTATTCTGAAACGGAGGAAGTAGTACGCACCATGGCTCGTGAAACAAATTGTTGCTATATCGGTATGGGAGACTTCCAAGAATTGCGCATTTGTATTAAGGGTGAGTTTGGATGCCAAAGAAAAGGCCGAAATCTTCGATATTTTGGCAATTTTTAAGAAATCGGCAAAAAAACGAAAAATCTGTCTGGATCGAAAATGTGGAGAATTCAATCTTTTACCAATTATCTAGTTTTTCGCCAAAAAATATACTCGGAGTAAAAGAGATTCAAGGTTTTTTTCTGAACATGGCAATGAGAATCGTTGATCCAGACAGTAAAAATAGGTGACAACCAATTTCTTCGAATTATTTTGAAACAAATTTTCGAAATATTAATTGGACAAAAATTGGGGTGTGATCGAGACCCACCCTAACGTTAGTATAACTTTTTGGGTGTTTCGGAGAATTGCCATAATTCCTATTGAGGAATCGTTGTTGAATCCTGTAAAGTCCTAAATTGTAGACAAATTTCAGGGCTATCCACCAATTAACGTTATCCACACCACACGCAATGTATTTCGGATTGTGAGCTCGTCATGTAGATTGGCATAAGCTTACCTCTATAAAGTGGTGTGCCAATTGATGATCTATGTTTTAACCTTTGGTGTTGTATGGATACATATTCAGAGATTTGCTCTGTGATTGGTGCTTTTCCGATTTGGGGTTCAGTTAGGTTTATACTTATACTACCTCAGGTAGGTATTAACTGTAAGTGCAGGCAAACATTCAATGCACTACAAAAACCAAGTAAAAGGAGTATGTATTTAAAAAGTTTACACCCTGCATGAGGTCACAGCCACCGCTCATGCGATATCCTTTTCTTCCATGCACGTATCCATCAATTCCAATGCAATCGCAGCCACATTATTGCTCTGACGGATTTTGTAGTATCGACCCCAACAATCGCATGCATTATAACGTATTAATATACGCCATGAATTGGCACTTTTCGCTCAATGTGTATGCGTCCGATGTCAAGCAAGGCGATCCAGTCATGAGTTCCTAATGATCTCGCCAATCTTCTGACTGTTGGTTCAAGCTCTGGAGCGGCACGAGTTCGCGCAAGACCCTACAACACATACGTTAGTCAGTCGATCGATATCTATCAACAAGAGACGCACGGGTGCCACACATATTCCTTGGTCGGGTCCTTTTCTTCGGCCATTTGCTGCAGCAACGCCGTCTGGACGTCCATCGCGCGCGCCTGTGCCACCTCCTCTTCCAGCAAGGACACGATCTTGGCATTCGCCACCAGCGCTTCCTTCTGCCTCAGCGCCGCTTCCTCCTCCATGCGTTTGGTTTCTACCTCTCTCTGTCGCTTGCGTTCCCTTGCATTCTCAGCTTCCGCTACCCACTGGTACATGTATATGCATCGTCCACATCAACATGGTAACCATTGACGTGTGATTTGCTGCTAGCTACTACCTCGTCAGGGTACTTGCGTCGATGGTCTGCCAAGTCGGCGAGCCCCACGTCAATGTTATCACATTGCTACATACACAACCTGAATCAGCACACATGTCGTTTCAACTACATGTATGGCGCCATCGTACTTCAAACTTGGCTTCGATGCGTTCCAAGGCGGCGCTCTACTCGACAACAAAGCGACGAGAATCCGGTCATTTAAAGCAGCACCGCATCATGTCTACCTCGTCCACGAGCTGCGCTTGCGCCGTTTCGCGGAGCTTGGTTTGCAGCATCATGAGTTTCTGCATGTATTTCTAGTCAATCCAAGCATGAGCTCAAGCAAATGACATGCACTCCCACGGTTGCACAAACACTCCCACACACGTACGTTGCGAATGTGAAGCACTTGCATGGCGTGGTTCATCCTGTCCCGCAAATGGATGGGCGATTCCTTCGCCTCGATCTCCGCGGCGGTGACAAAGTACTTGGACGTCGCCATCTTCATGACGTCCTTGTGCTGGGCCTGCAGCAGTCCTTCAAGGTACTCCACCACGCGCTTGGCATGATCGATCTGTTTCAAGCAATCCACGACCTACATACGTTCCAGTCGTCGTTAGAGGGTTCGAGAAATAAGATACAAAGACGAACCGGATGCGCGGCACGGGCCTTCAGACCCATGGGAAGGTCGGGCTCGAGCTCGTTCACCTGCTCAACATGCTCACTCGCGGGCTCAGCCTTTCTCGTGTGCTTCTCCTGCCATGCCACCGGCAATGGCTCCCCCGTTTCCTTCCACATGACGCGAATGGCGTCCAAGGGATACAACGTTTGGTCGTACCACAAGCGCAGGATCTTGAGCACGGTGTCGCGGTCGGCGGGGGAGTTGCTCACCAACGACACTGCCTCGGGCAGCAACGGTAGCAATGCTTTCTGGAACGACGTGGACTTTGCCTTGAAACTCTTGAACAAGACGTGATTCGCCACATACAAGAACGGAATGCGGTCATGAGTGTCGCTATCTCGCAGGTTCGCCATCCATAATGCGCACAGATCTTCTGCATGCGACTCGTCGTCTTGGTTGTGCATGAGGAACAGGTCCGCGACGGCGTTGATTCGCTCGTTCGAGTCATCGAGCTCGGCCAGTTCGCTCTCGATCTCGGCACGGCCCCACACTGCAAAGTCCACCACACCGTCGTCCACACTTTTCACATCGGCCTCGATCTCAATCGCCGCGCTTGACTCGTCTCCGCCTGCCATCATGTTGGCCAACGGGGTTCAATATGTGCTTCGAATTCCAGTATCCGGAGGTCCGGATAAATATTTCTGTTGAAGAAGGATTATAAATTCTGCTGAGAACCTCAACACAAGTACTAATACTAGTACCAGGGAACGCGACAGGAGTCGTAATGTTAACGTCAGTATAAAGCACTAAAAGGGCATCTACCGGTAGGGACATTCCGTTCCCTACCTGTAGTACAGAAATGCCGCAAGCCGCAGGCTGCGGTTAGCAATGTAGCAATGAGAATAGAACGATCCTATTCGCCAATTATTTTCACTTTCTATCATATCATTGGACAATAATTTGGAAAGGCACTTCCTGCCTTACGAATTCATCAAAAAGTTGCGTTTCAGGGGGAGTCTGGATGTTAAAGAAAAGGCCAAAATCTTCGATATTTTGGCAATTTCTAAGAAATCGGAAAAAATTAATAGAAGTCTGTCTGGACTGAAAATCTGGAGAATTCCATATTTTGCCAATTATCTAGTTTTTCGCCAAAAATTAAAAAAGCGGGTCGCGGGACTTTTCCTGAAAATTGGAGAATCGACCACTTTCTTTCGAAATCAGTTTGATCCAGACAGCAAAAAAACTATTGACAGTGAAGTTGAAATACTTTGAACAAAACGAAATATTAATTGGGCAAAATTGGGATGTATTATATAAAGAAGGCCAAATTCTTCGATATTTTGACAATTTCTAAGAAATCGTCAAAAAATGAAATATTATCTGTTTGGATCCAACATTTGGAGAATTCTATATTTTGCCAAAGACCTCGTCTTTCGCCAACAAATATGAAATAAGTTCAAGGAGCAATTTTTCTGAAAGTTGGCAAGAACTGAGAATCGTCGAGATTCTTTCAAAATATGTTTGACCCAGACAGTGAAATATAGTGACAACCAAATTCTTCGAATTACTTTGAGGGTGGCTCGGGATCACATCCCAAGTTTTGCCTAATTAATATTTCGAAAGTTTGGCTCTTCGAAGAATTTGGTTGTCACCTACTCCCGGAGTACTTCAGTAGTACTTCGAAGTACCTCGAAGTAGTTTTTTGCTGTCTGGATCAAACTGATTTTGAAAGAAAGTAGACGATTCTCAATTCTTGCCAGTTTTCAGAAAAATGTCCCTTGAACCTCTTTTTTAGTTTTTTGGCGAAAAACGCGAAATTAGGCAAAATGTTGAATTCTCCAAATTTTGGATCCAGACGGGTAATTTCTCATGTTTTGCCGATTTCTTAGAAATTGCCAAAACATCGAAGATTTTGGCACTGACTTGGGTCGTCCCAACACCTCGGCCACGGCTATAGCTGCATTGCATTTGGAACTATAATGACCAATTTGCCATCATCCTGGGGTTTAACTGACTGTGAACTTGGACGTCAGCTTCGTATGTCCCAAATGAAGATGGTCACATTTGCACGCCTGGCTAGAAAACGTAGACGGGAGACGTAAGTTGCTGTAATGCGGGTTTTTATGGCATTCCCGCATATATACCCTACGTCAGCTTCGTATGTCCCAAATGAAGATGGTCACATTTGCACGCCTGGCTAGAAAACGTAAACGGGAGACAAAAGTTGCTGTAATGCGGGTTTTTATGGCATTCCCGCATATACACCCTACTTAGTGGATTGCACGGCACCCGTATATATTGGGCGCTCCCATTACAGTATTTCTCAAAATTGTGGATGTAGGAGCACAATGAAGTCGGAATTGACAGACTGTGACCCCAAATGATGCAGCAAAAAGTAAAGGCAAGATAATTAGGTCGAATTTAAGCCAATCAGAATTGAGTCGGATGAGATGTCCGCCTTTATTCGATCACAACACCATACTGTATTCTGTCAGAAAAACGGCCATTTTTCCAGAAAAATCTTTGAATGGCAAAAGTATGAAGTCTGAATCTAGTAAAAGACCTCCATAATTTTCGGGTGATTTGCCCAAATTATGATTGAAAAAAAAAACACACCGATTTGGCGATTTTTTTTCCTGTCACTGTCCTGGCTCTACGTTTGTGATATTCTTAGAATTTTCAGGAAAAATTGGAGACATCCAGACATTTCACGTTGAACTTATGGCGTCAGTTTTTATACCTTTGAAGTATATTACTTTGGGAACTTGGAGAAAAGGAAAAAAGTTGTTAAAAAACTCCTGGTGGAATATCACTTGTGGCACCCGCCCTTACATGTTAAACCCGTGTCTTTATCTTGATTTAACTGTAAGTATACCCCAACATTATTCGTAAATGACCACTAACGGTCAGACCTTTCATGTTATGTAGGTTTGTGTTCACGTTGTGGACTTGCACTTCACAGTCAATCGGAAATGAAATAATTTTTCCAAAATGCGGTTAGCCTCTACTGGAGGGTGCGGGAAATCGCGAAAACCAGTTTGGCAAAACCCACTCACTATGCGTAACCGTATTAAAATTGACAGGTTGAATTTCAAACGAAAATAGAATACTTTTGGCAGTAATAAAATGTAAACAGGTGCTTACATTTTGTAAACTGACACGATGGATGTACTTTCGTGGTCGATTTTGACTCTATTTGAACGTATTTTCATTCCATAATCTAGGAGAGTAATCCCAAAGTTGCGCTCTCTTATATGAACCAGAACAATATGAACTTCAAGGAGGTTTACAGGTTTCTGCAAGTTGGGGGGTGTAGGTTAAAGATTGATCTACGAAACTTCAATATTTGAGGTACGATTTCACATGTACTCCGTATTGTATACCAACACGAAGTTCATGAATCTGATTACATATTCCTTGAAACTTGGTGAGAGGTCTACTAGTATGGACAATAAAAATGGAAGGACTTGGACAAAGTTTAGGTAGGTTTTTTAGGTCAAAGTATTGAACTTTCAGTTTACAAAATGTAAACTGGGCTGTTTACATTTCGAAAACATTTTAAATTAAGACTTGTCCATCTTTTCGTTCAAAATTTTATTACGTTTTGCGAGTTTTTCCCAGTCGAAACCGGTTTTCCGTTAGATACTTCTTTTCTCCTACTACTCCTGGAGTAGTATTCTTCATGGGATATGTGACTTTGGGAAAATTTTCAGACTTGCCAAAACGGTTTGTGGCATAAATTTATGAGATGGCGGCATCCAGACCAGCCTTTTCTCTACAGTTGACGAGTGGAGAGTTTCGTGACCCGTCGTTCAGTACACATTGAGAAATCGCTGACCTGCGTCGCGCCTTTCCCGCATACCAACACATGCGCAATCTGTAGGATGTATATAAATAAATCGCCTCAAAACGGATATATTTCGAGTAAAAATATGCTTGTTTAATAGAAACATCAGTATCAACATTGTCAAGATATTAATATTATGTAACTGTCATTCACATGCGAACGCCGTTTGACTCCGTGGACGTGGCAAGGTTCAATTCTTTGTTGACTTGTATGTGCTAACTTGAATAAAGTTACATGTACCTGACACTGACGACACTGGTGCTCCATGATTTGAAGGAATCAAATACCTTTACAGTTAATTCTTCATAATAATCATTTGTGCCCTGTTCCCTCATCTCCCTGTCAAAATAACTGCAAATGATGTTAAGCTTGTTATATGTAATAATATGACGCACAATATATTTAACGTAAATGCTGGAGTAAGCCCGGAATGTATTACATCGAAAGATGAGCTTGATTGGCAGGAATGCAATTCGTATTTCGAAGTATGATAGCCAATCAAATACTGTTATTTCATTCCCACTCGAAGAAAAAGTAGGCCTTGCCAGCAATTTGGGAGGGGATGTGGTTGAAGACATTAGCGAAACTCAACGAAGCATTGGAATAGATAACTTGAACTCATTGTCTATTCACCCGCATGGATATGCATTGCTCAGGTGGCATGGGAGTGCCCCTCTGGCTTCCAGCAGCAGTAGATCGCGCAGGTTGTCGTTGGTGAGAAGTGCGCAACTTCAACGTAGTTCAGATCGGAATCTCCCTAACCAAGTGCAATCTAACTAAACACGTTCGAAGGACTGGAGTAGCGATTATTCTCAGCATTTGTCGTTCATTCACGGCTTGTCGTTCCTCATCAAACGGCATGAGAGACAGAATACTTGATTAATGGCTTGGAGCTACAAAAGTCACTGGACTACGGGAATTAACAACATTTTATGGCTACTCCAAATTGATTCACTAACGCTTGCTCATGTCTATGGCAAGGTAGGATGTGTACTTATGTAGGGAATCTAGACCAAGTCTAATTATATCCTAGATACGTTGACGGATTCGTTCGAACAATTGGAGAAGGGCCCCACTAGTATTCAAAAACTGCTGGGGCAGGTGCTGGGCATTGTGATCGACGCAACCGCCTACGAAGATGCAAAAGGATTCACTGTACTTGCGCTTTGCCGCCGGTGCCGTTGCATCTGCCTCTGCGGAGATGGCCACACTTCCTGTGGATATCACGAAAGTACGGTTGCAAGCCCAGGGGATGGCAAGTACTAGTGGTGGTACCACTAGTGCGTCCGTCGTCAAGTACACCGGCATGCTGGATGCAGTGCGGAGGATCGCGATAGATGAAGAAGGTCCACTGGCGCTTTGGAAGGGAGCGCAACCAGCCGTGGCACGACAATTCGTGTATTCCAGCATGTGCATGGTGCTCTACGAACCTTTTCGCGATGCCATCACATTGTTCCGTGGCAACAACAACGACGGCGCCAGCGGCATGTCGTTTGCTCAAAAGCTAATGGCTGGTGGGCTCGCTGGTGCGTTTAGTGTCAGCATTGCGAATCCGTACGTGTCCTGCCCATGTAACTTGTGAAATCTCTTGACATTCTCCACCAGGGTTGACGTAATTAAAGTTCGTATGCAGGTACCCCGTCTCGTTCAAACTCGTCAGGGTATCACGCGATTGCTCCATAGGCCGATCGAAGCGGTGTCCTATACAGCGGCATCACGGACGCAGTGGCGAAAATCCATCAACAAGAAGGGTTCCGGGGATTTCTTAAGGTAAGTGACAACGATGCGATGCTCGAATTTGATTGTGAATTGGTGCAAATGTGTGTTTTGCATATTGATGCCAGTTGCATTGATATTGACGGTGCAAAGTGCACTTTGATCCAACGTGGGTTGCGTTGCAGGGCGTGGGTCCAAACGTCACGAGAGGCTTCATCGTCAACGCCGCGGAACTTGGGGTGTATGATCAAGTGTACGTGATCACGTCATCGTCTGTCACGATGACATGTCAGGGTTTATGACGTGGCCATGTTAGGAAAACGTCGTTGATTTCGCACGGGATCGTGGAAGAAGGAGGCATCGGGGCGACGTTTGGGGCGAGTCTCTTTGCCGGGCTCGCGGGGGCGGCGGCATCCAATCCGTACTTGTTGACGTCATCCTCTCCCATGTGCTAACGTGATCACTAGCGTGGACGTCCTCAAGACCCGATTGATGACGCAACCAGCTGGCGCGGCGGCGCTATATACAGGCATGTTTTCCTGCGCCCGCCGCACGTTCCAGGAGGAAGGCGTGAAGGCGTTCTACAAGGGGTTCATTCCCAACTGGATGCGCAAGGCGCCGTGGTGTGTTGTGTTCTTTGTCACGTACGAACAATGTCGCGCGATGATGGCGGCGCAGGACGCCACGGCAGTGACGTTTGTGCTGAATAGCAACCAGAAAAAAGTCTAAGGCAACGACCGTAGCAATGTATGTAGTAGTAACGTTAAGCAATGCATTGGAAAAAGCAGAGTGTATTGCACTAGCTAGTACTTCGAAGTATCACATTTGTATCATCACTGTCGCTCCAAAACGAGTACGTAGTATATTGTGCTTTCGAGTGAAATTTCGTGTTGTGGCGTGGTTTCTGGTTGGAATTTAAATCGATTTGATTGGCTACTTCAGATGAGCTCAAAATTATTAGCCAATCAAAACCTTCTCAATGAAATTCAACCAATCAGATCGATTGTGGATCGGTTTGGTCGGCGCGATTCGATTGCACCCCTTCCCCAAATTTGTTATCAAATCGACAATAAGTGAGGCATGTTTGAGTTGGAAAAATGGGCAGACCATCCATGTACTATTTATTATTAATAATAGTACAGGGGTGGTATTAATAATCAAAACCTTTGCAGTTTACCAAGTAAATCATCGAAAATTGTTACTTTTGGGAGACAAGGACTTTTACTCCTACTGCAATACTATTAATAGGAAGAAATTCACTAACGTTAGTATAGATTTTTCCTCAATCCCGATAGAGTCACAAACCAAGTCATGTTGGTGAGTTTGTTGTTGACGATGGTAATGAGCCGTGGGGTATTATCATGTAGAAGTCTACAGTAACCCCTCACGTCATTATGACTACCCCGTAGTGTTGATCGTTATACTTGCAGCGATGTACAACCCCTGCATAGTTCACACCCTGCACAGCCCTTCGGTACCCTCTACAATAATTCTACTGCATAGCGTCTCCCCACGCTACATACTTCGAAGTACTAATTGTTAAAGCGCATTCTCTAGAAGTACTACCGTATAATGCGATTGAGGATGTACATTGCATATTTGAGTGCGCTAACGGGGTAGAATATAGAATGCGCATTGCCTATCGGGCTCGGGGAGGTCAATAATTGTGGAGGTATCTACAGAAGGACATCACGGGGATGCACATCGCTGCAATTGCAACCATCAAAGCTGAATGGCAGCATCGTTGATGGTGAGCATCTCCGTTCTACAAGTACATACCTAGTGCGCAATTTCCAAACTTGTACCTACCTGTCGTTAAGCCCCAGAATTACTAAGTGTAATACTCGGAGTAGTGTACATACTGTACTCACTCGAACTCACATTTCACACATGTACATACTTTCGAACATCATGCGTGGCATTATTATTCTTAACTCATAGTCAGCGCATGCACGGTTGCCTTCCCTGACATTCCCCTCAATACATGTACCTCAGTATGTGACACTAGCATCAATCACTACGGTAGCACATTAACTGGTATAGAAAACTGATGCTATCATAGCTAAGCTTGTTCTCGACAAGGATATACCCAATGCAAGGAACTACGGCAGTCAGTCAGGCATGAAGAGGCAGCGAGTCCACAACAGTGCTTCAGCCTTGTCGATAGCGTTAGTGTCCAAGTACAATGCCCTCTGATTGGTTACATATATTGTTTATTTATAGCCAATCAAACGTTGTAATGACGTCATTGTTCAACTTGTGGTACATTCTACTTCGAAGTACAGTACTAGTAGTACTAGTAGTACTACGTAGTAACTTTCTACTACGTAGGATACTGTATACTGCAACAAGCAGACAAAGTTTCTCCGAGGGCGAACGGTGGCTTGAAGTAAACTGCGCACGATTGAATCGTGGCCACCAGGCTTCAATTGCAACATCGTGTGGCTGAGCCGCTATGTGCTGGAAGGCTACATAGCGCTACAACTAACGTTACCCTATATTTAGTCCAGCTATGGCTCACCGACAATACTGTAGTTTGACAGTTGACACCCTCAACTTCCCAGGGCATGACTAAATTTGGGATTCACCCTGTTCTGTTAGAGAACACTCTCACTGCCCTGTCCACTGCCCTGTCAGTCAGGCAGCGACTGCTAGCTGTACAGGTGGTTTTTGTGCGTTTAGCGGCTTTTCCTCAGGTAGAAGTCAGCGCAGACATCTGGTGACGGAGCATCATACTACAGTTCTGGATGTCGTGGCCAATCGTAGTCTAGTTTTGATTGGCTGTTTCTTTGCAGTCAGAAGAATTTGACAATCTGTGAAGTACTACGTAGTAATCCACCCACTTCCATTTCACTGTAATAGTAATCCAACTAGAGTAATCGTACCAGTAGTCTATTAATATCAGCAAATAGAATACGCAATTCCTGGGCATCTTCGCACGTCAACAATCCTGTATAACCGGATACATTTCTATAGATTGTAGGGACGACTCTGTCTTGTGGAAAGGACCAATTTTCTGGGGAAAAGCCCAAATCTTTTGTGTGATGTACTTCAAGTACGATTTGGTTGTGATGAAGGCTTTCCCTCCATGTACTGTATTTACGAAATGCCAATACTATTATTTTAATTATTCACAAGAATCACCCTTGGTTGATTATGTGACAATATTGTCTTTGATGTTCTTGCCCTTGAGATACCATGTGGACTTGGGAGGTTTGAGGAGCAACATGTTGCGGCTCTTGGCTCCTTGGGACGAAGGTAATGGCGACGAGACCCGTCGGGGAAGTAGACTTGCACGAAGGGCCTTGTGATCTGAGGTCAAGACGACCTCAAGTTTGGGATGGCATGTCGGTGGCCTGAAACTGGAACGTAAAACGGCGGGGTGGATCAGTGCGTAGAGCTCGTCCTTGTCGGCGCTTTCGTCCGCCGTGGAGGTCCAGCGATCTCTTGTGATGGAGTCTAGAGGGGGCAACGAACACGTTGTGCTCCACACCCGCGATCGAATGCGACGCTCGGCTGCCGATCGGTTGGTCATGCGGTGACTTCGGTCGGTGAATCCTTCAAAAAGAGAGCGACGTTGGTCCTCTCGTTGCGCACGGCGCCTCTCCGCTTCGGACTGGATGGGCGGTCGCACCGAGTTGAATGTCTGCAGCAGACGCTGCAAGGTCAAGAATGTTTCATCGTCCACATCCTCTGCATCATTGGGCTCCAACTCCACTTGCTTCTTCTCATGAGTATCCAAGACAACTGTCGTGGTGGCCACGGCGAATGTGGCGCCAGCACTTCGTTTCAACGGACTCTGCATGCTTTGTATCGTTGTGCCACTGGACATTCAATCAAGATTGGGCGACGATTCCACCAATCCGCGTCGACTCTTGCGATCCACAGTGCATCAGCCAATCATATCGACGTTTAGATGACGCGTGTGTTTCATTGGCTCAATTGCGTCGAGAGAATTCTGTGACACCAACTCCGTGGAGCGGCGCGGCGGATCATGTGAAGAAATTTTGAAACATTCTTCGCCTTACCCTTTGTCCTACGTACGAACAGTTCATGCTAGTCGTAGCAGCCTTATACAGTACTCATACATGCAATGTTGACACTTAGTCGAGAGTACAACAGTGCATCAACAATATAAATATATAGAGGTAACTTGCCCAGCATGTCTTTGCCCATCTCACGTTTTTCTGCTGCATTTGATATCGTGATTGTATAAATCACCGAGGAACAATTCCCTGATTAAAACAGTACTACTACTGTTCCTATTCTCAGAAATAATACTGTTTCTACTAGTATTAATAGTACAATTCCCTCATTAAAACAGTTCCACTGTTGTTTTTCTCAGAAACGACTGCAATGTGAGTGTTTATATGGAACTTTGTATGCTCGGAACACCTCACCTCTTAAAAAGTGCATCTCAGTGGTTTGCGATAGCTAAACACTAGCGATGCAGTTAACCCCGGAGATTAAAATCGTACTTCGTATGTACTCACCGGGGGTAGAACGGAGTCTCAGGTTACAGCGCTACGGGCGAATAGGTGTATCCGGATGTGAAATTCCCTCAAACCGGGTAAAAAAAACAGTGGAAATGTTTTAATGAGGGAATTATTCTAAGCTTACTACGTAGTATGACGGAGTTTCAGTATCCGGCGCAAGTCACGGATAGAGGCGGTAACGCTCGAGCGATTCTACGACAGCAACTTTACCATCGACGTGGTGGGGTTGTACTTCCAGGAAGGCAAGTGCGCCTCGAGGCCGTCCCCGCCGTCGAGCTGAAGTGACTGCTGTCAGCATTGCGCATAATTATATTAATATGTAGTTATCTGTATTCAATTCAAACAATAAATTATTGACAAGTCGAATTTCAAACAATAAATTACGATAGATATTGCTATATATTGTAAAATTGAAACAATATAATTGCCCGGACCATGTCATTTCCCAAACAGCCAACAACATTCACAAGCAAGCCACCACGCCCCCTGCATCCTCGCCGGCAACCGCAATGTCTGGATGTGCAGTAAAACGCGGGTATATGTAAGAGTCTGATATTAGTATATGTCGATATAATGTGTATGCTACCGCTATTAGAGCAACTCCATCTGTGGGATTTATCGAATGAGATTTATTCGGATAGTGTACGGATAACAGCGAGATTTATTACAGTCCCAGGGATAAATCTCAATTTCCCCACCCATCAGATTTATTCCAATTTACACAACAGACCGCCGTGCTCTAACTGCATGTAGCTGCTAAGAGGTCGGCACCAAATGAATCCCACATGACGACTATCACATCACACTCAATCAAACGTTACAGTAGAAATCGATCATGTCTATGCGCATGCCGCAGTTCGACGCCGCAAGTTATCTCATTAGTCTAAAACGAGGGCACACCCTTGAGCTTATCAATTATCACAGCATGCGTATTCTCATACCATGAGCCAACTGTGACGTGGACTCTAACAAAACAATGTACGTGGTGCTCACTAATTCGTTTACCCTGCTGATGCCGCCATCACAGCCCTCACAATCGGGGCGACTTGGTTGTCGCTGCGATGTTGAGGGCTGTGGCGACAGCGTCAGCAGAGTGGGCACATAAATTGAAATTGAAATTACGCGATATTTACAAGCTTGCTATCGCCCGAGCGCGCGCATATGCAGCAGCGCCCGCGAACTAGACTAATCTAGAGGATGGAGCTTGTGCACGTTCACACCGGGGTGGTTCGTGCCGCGGCGTCAGTCTGTCGGGCCTTCATTAGTGTGCGGTGTGCATTGGGACTTGTCAAAGCCTACGGGTTTGCTGTTGTGGTTTCGCCGGGTTAGCCTCAGCGGGCTACTGACGCCGAGTGTGGTAGATAGGTTTGCATGGGGGCTGTCGCAGTCCAACAAGTTGTATAGGGTGGAGCTTATTGTGGGCGCTAACAGAGGCAATGTCAACGAGCAGGAGTAGGCCACTCTGTGTTGAGTGACGGCGTGTGCTAAGCGAGCGGTAGTTGCGGTGAGCTGTCGGTGGCTGGAGCGTCAGGTTGACGAGAATGTTATAGATAGCGAACTTCTTAGCCGTGCCATGCCCTCGGTCGACATTCGAGATACCGTGTATCGAGTATGGAATTGGCATGTGTGCGCCGGGCCAGTGCGAGATTGTCGAATACAGCGGTATTCTGTAGTCTGTGTTGACATCCGTCGGTGTCATGTCCAGCCGGTGTGTCCATGCCGTGTCGGTGGGCGAAGGCAGCCAGTGTTGGATTGGGAACAGGAGGGTATGGGCTGGATGGCAGCATGCGCCGTTACGTCGGTGGTGTTGAGGCCGTTGAATCGGTTGTACGGTGGGTCGGTCAGGTGAGCCGCAGGCGGACACAGCGGTACGCTGTAGTCCGTGTTGACATCCGTCAGTGTCGGCGACGGTTTCGGAGGTGTCATGTTCAGCCGGTGTGTCCATGCCGTGTCGGTGGGCGTGGGCAGGCAGTGACGGATTGGGAACACGAGTGAATTCACGGGCGGATATGTTTGGGCCAATCAGAAGTCAGGCTTCGGGTCCGGTCGAACCAGATTGACTGGTTGGCGAGGCCGGTGTTCGTCGGCGGCCCGGGCCGCGTGAAGATGGGAGGATGGGTCGACCGTAGGAAATGAGCAGCGTACATCCAGGGGATCGAGCCCCAGAGGACAGAACATGATTGGGCTCGTGTTGGTAAATAGAGGGCCCCATTCGAGTGCCGTGAGAAGCGGTAACGTTGCCTCGACTCGTTCCTTGGTCATGGGTACTTGGTGGTCCATGACTTGGTTCCAGAACTTGAGCTCATCCCGTATTTCCGCTGCGTCGTCGGGATGCTCCTGCATGTAAGTAGCTACACGAAGGCTGCCCGCAGACATAGCTCTCTGGTTGCCCGCGGCGAGCTGCCTGTGGCCTGGGTCCGTTGCAGCCGGGTTTGTCAAGGTGTTGGCCAGTCGGGGCGCCGCGCCCCAATGTGCACGACCAGGTAAAAACGGGAATCTCCAGAGTGGACACATGGCCATTCGACGTAGGGCTGTGACAGTCGGTGGCGTTTAAAGATCCAATTAAGCACTGGTGTTATCGTACTATGTGCACAGTTCACTGTGACATCACGTTGTTGCTCCGCCGCGCGTGGACATTGCGCTCGGAGTTCAATAAAGCGGAAATTTTATGTATATTAATTATGTGATGGAACTTCATTTTACTGTGGTAAATATTGCTTTGGATTATTAATTTTGATATTACTATGAAATCTGATGGATAAATTGAGGCGAAAAAATCCTACTAGTACTACGTAGTATTATAGAACTTTTTGGGGTCAGATTTATGTTTGGATCTTTCAAATATAAATCTGACCCCTATAAAACCTGCCGGTGGGAGCAATAAGTCCTGGGTGGTCCTATCTAAGGGTATCCGTATAAATCTGAGCTATAACTCCGGTGGAGTAGGGCCTCAACTTTTCAAAATGAAATGAGCCAATCAGAATCGTTTCCGTCGTACTTCGAAATTCGGTTTTTCAAGCACGACACACACAGTCATGCTTTGGCCGTGATTGGGGTACAGTCATCCCCCGATTTTTGCAGCCCCGAGAAAATATAGCTTTATAGAGGTACTTCTGTTGAAGGGTTATATGAAGAGGAGATTGGTCACATTTGATGAGCACAAACAAAAAATCCTAAAAATCCTAAAACCCATCAACACATTTTGTGAAAGGTGGTCGCCTGATTACTCAAAGCAAGTACACTCACAGTATTACTGTACCAACATCGAACAACGTCCTAGCTTGCATGTTATGCAGTGCTCGAATTTGTTCCGACAGCCATGTCGTCGTGTATGCAGAGTTAATCACTTTGCAAGAATTCGCATAGCTAATGGACAACGCCCGTGTTATCATGGTATGACTTGGTGCTGGCACCGCATTTGATTCCAAGTATTAAATTTTCAATATCCTGTTAAATTGAATATTCGATGGTATTACACAGGATATTCGTTTATACCAGGCTGCAAAAAATCGGGGGATTTGTGCATTCCAAGTAAATTAAATTGATTGGATAATGATTTACATGATTTCATTATTGGATGGACCAATGGAGCCTTGCCGATGGAGGCCGAAACCGACTTTGACGGAGATGTTCTCGTCAATGGCAGCACAGGTGACCCATGCATCATAGATATTTCCTAACAATACGTTTTCGATCATGTTACTGCGCTGCGGCGCACGTTCCGACTTCCATAGCGACCTCCATGTTGTCATCGTACCGTGTGATTGTTTGTCGTTGGTTGCGGCATAGCACGGCTCGATCCAATCTGTTTGGTGCAGGACAGCTCCAGGGGGACATAGTACGTATAACTAGGCGCTATAGTTGTTGCACTATCCGATCTATATGCTCCTATAGCTCGTATATATCTGTGCTTGCGCGCGCTTGGGCCTGGGTGTGCGGTGGCCACACCTTGCGGCCCATTTTCTGGCACCCAAGCACATCATTTCGTTACCGGTAAATGAAGCTTCGTAGAGGAATTCCCCGGCAGCAGGGGGTGTCCCCCTGCTGCAGGTCCAAAACTACCTGTTCTCGGGGAATTTGAAAATCGCCGGATATACATCCGGATACGTAAATTCTTCCACAGATAAGACCGTTGGAAACCAACGACTTTTGCCACGAGTCACTTTTCAAAATGACTTCATGTGGTCGCCTCAAGTGCATGGTGGATGGCTGTGGCGTTGTCGTGTGGTACACCTACTTCAAGGTGCACATGACCAAGGACCACCCGGAGATACCCCAATACCGCAATATCCGTAAGCGGTACGGCCGCCAAGTCGATGCGAACGACAAGGTGCTTGAGGACGAGGGCGTCGCAGATTTGCACCCTGACGACGTACCATTGTTGAAAAGTGTCCTCAAGTATCGTCTGGAAGGTGAAACGACTGTGCGCTTGCTGTTGGCACTTTGTCGTAAGAGTGATAGTGATCCTAAGGCACTCCTCCAACCCATGATTAACCAGCATTAGGCGGACGAGGACTACGCATTTTCGCCGCCGACAACCCCTGTATCGTTGCCCTCGTCCACCCCTGTCACGCCGTTCGAGTTCATCAGGTCTTTCAAATGAGCGCCTATAAGTACAATAATTAATACCGGAACATGTTAATGTATTACCATCAAGCGCAACGAGGTTTTGACACTGCTGGAAAGCATTGGCGCAAAAACCCGGCACAAGGACACTTCGATAAAACGACCCATTTCTTGTTTCCACGGACGTAAACGTTCCAGGGTTGCGGGACTTCAGCAAGTCGAAGTAGCTGGCAACTTTTTCGAACGCCATGTCGACGGATCCATAGTAGTGCTTGACCAACGCGCGCTTTGCACGGCTCGCAGACGATGTTGAGATGGTTTCACCACACACAC